TACTGGTGAGGCTAAGATGTTCTTTAACAAACCCTATCTGTTAATGTACGGTATGTTTCTAAAACACTTTCGTGGAAAATGCGAGATTTTGTACTACAAGCGCCCCTCACACACACACAAAGTCAATTATAAAAGCATCACCGAGAAACTGTGGGATACCACCATATCACACAAACAGATAGAAGACAACAAGGTTAAAAAACTGATTGCTAATGTTAACATAGGACTGCTGGAGAAGGGGACGAACAAGGCACAGAAAAGCCTCGTGTTTGATACCTTCAGCGAGGCTTTATATCATCAAACCATCCACGGAGGAAGGATTAATAAAATCAGCGGACATTATGAGGAGTTAGATGGAGAGGATGGGTTTGAAACTGTAGAGAAGGAAACCGACGCAAAATACTACACATTAACTGTAAGCGACACAGCCAATCTAACAAACGGGTTTAAATACATTAAGGAACTGCTTTTACAGATACATAACTTTAGGATGTATGAGGATTACTACAAGTTGGTGGAGGCAGTGGTTCAGGTCAATTATGTTAAGACCGATGCCTTTCTGATAAAGACCGCCGACTTAAAAAAGGCTAAGAAACTACTTAACTTCTCAAAGGACATCGGTGGCTGGAGAGTTGAGAAAGGAAAGCTGTTTGTAGCCCCAACCGACGATTACGAAATGAAACCCAACGAGCTGGTGGAAATACCGACCTACGAGAACGAAAGGGTAATGATAGAAGATGAGTGGGATACTCAGGCGATATGTCGGCAAATAGTGGAGCAGAATCCTATTATAATAAAGGCTCGTTATGCTGGTTCCGGTAAGAGCTACATAGGCGAGTACATGAGGAATTTAGGTTATAATGTGCTGTTTGTGTGTCCAACCAACCAACTGCTACAAAACACCCAAACCGATGCCACAACTAATAATAAGTTCTTTGCCATACCTGTGGAGAAGGGCGATAAAATGGAAGCGTTTGACCATAGTAAGTATAACTGCATAGTGTTTGACGAGGTTGGTATGGGAGGGATGTATGTATTAAATAAGATAAGGGAGTTCGTTAAGAAACACGCCAAAGATAAAATCATCATCGCCACCTCCGACGGGAAACAACTGCCACCAATAAAGGATATAACCAACACACGAGACCACGAGACATATCTGAACGAATGCATTAACCAAATATTTAAATACCGGATTTATCTTAAAATATCAAAGCGACTTAAGAAGAGGAGCGACAAAATAAAACTTAAGCATATATATGATGATATCTGGAAACACAAACTGCCCATTGAGCAGATTGTGGAGAAACACTTTGAAACAACTGACGATATGATGGCATCCGAACACAACATAGCATATACGAATAAACGGTGCTTATATGTATCAAACACGATACGAAAGAACCTAGGCAAGAAGCTGAAGTATGAAGTGGGTGAGCACATGATATGCAGAAAGTATAAGAAGGAAGGGGGGACGACCTTTAATGTCAACTTTAAGTATCAGATTAAGAGCATCGGAGCAGAAGGGGTTGTGCTACAGAACATAAAAACCAATCAGTTATACAACACCAGTATATCTACATTAGATGAGCATTTTAGATATGCTTACTGTGCCACCTGTCATTCGTCACAAGGTGCCTCGGTTGATAAATCTATCACTATACACGAGTGGCAGAAGCAACACTTAATAACGCGAGAGTGGCTGTGTACGAGCATCACACGTTGTACAGATATTAATAAAGTTATGTTCTACAAATCGGTGGAGAATGATAATGAACTAAACGAGACCACCCTAATGCGATACATAGATAACAAGGTTAAGCGCTACAAGATACAAGACCTGAAGGCAGGTAGGACTGTAGATGATGCCGATTATATTGATGTCAAGTGGCTCTATGATAGGATGAACAGCAGATGTAACAAATGTGGTTGTGGGTTTGAGTTTGGTATTAAATGCGGGGAGGTGGTGAGTAATCTAACAGCCCAGCGTTTAAATAATGAGATGCCACATGTTAAAGATAATCTAACTGCATTCTGTTCCTACTGCAACTGCAGTTCTAAATGATTATCATAATAAAAACGATTATCTTAATAAAAATGATTATCTTAATAATTTATAATATCTTGTTTATTATAATGAGTTCTAAACAAGATATTATTAGTGAGGTGTATTTTGATAGGAGCGGTTTCGGCAGTAGGGCTCGTACACTACAAGAAGCAAAAAGGAAGGATAAAAGTATAACAGCTGATGATATCAATGAGTTCTTTAGAAAGAACGTAGAGCAAAAGCGAAGACCAACAGGCAGAAACAGTTTTGTGGCTCCTCACTCGGCATATGAGTATCAAATAGACTTATTTTTTATTAATGATATGGAGAACCAAAAATTTAAAGTGGGAATGTTAACGATTGATGTGTTTGATAAGTTCATGCATGTTGTACCTATTAAGGGTAAAACAGAAGAAGATTTAGCCAGTGGTATTATAGAATCTTTAAACAAAATGGGTAAGATTCCAAAGGTCGTTTATACAGATGACGAAGGAGCACTGAGCAAGGAATCTATACAAACATATTTTAAAGAGCAGAACATACAACACCACATAACAAGAGCACACCCCAACTTTAGCGAGAGGGCGATACGGACATTTAAAGATTTGTTGTATTTGAGGGTTGAAGCAGATGAAAAGAAAGGTAAACAAAATATTCAGTGGATAGATTATATATATGAAATACTACTGACATATAACAATGTTATGAAACATTCTGCCACCGAAATGACACCAAAAGAGGCGAGAAAGCCTTCAAATGAGTTAACAGTCAAATTGAATTTAGCAAAAAAAGCTAAACAAAATACAGTATATCCTGACTTGGATAAGGGAGACGAGGTTAAAATATTTAGGAAGAGAAAGCCCAATGAAAAAGAAAGGGTCGGCAATTGGTCTAAGAATGTATATACAGTTGAAAAATTAGAAGAGAAACAAGGTCAAAAATATTATTATGTAGAGGGTATGAGCCGTGCTTATCTACGTTTTGAGTTATTAAAAATTTAATACAATAAGACCTAAAAATATTGTATTAATTATTTTTATTTATTTGTATTTTGTATTTTTACTTGTTTTGTTTTGTGTGTTTGCTTCTGAGCAAACTCTGGGAGTTTATGGGCAAACTCTGGGAGTTTGTGGGCAAACTCTGGGAGTTTGTGGGCAAACTCTGGGAGTTTGTGGGCAAACTTTAGGATGGGCAAACTCTAGGAGTTTGTGGGCAAACTCTGGGAGTTTATGGGTAAACTCTGGGAGTTTGTGGGCAAACTTTAGGAGTTTGTGGGCAAACTCTGTCTGAGGGGTTGAAACCTAAACCTTAGGGGGTTTAACCCTAGGGGGTTTGAAAGCTAACCCTAGGGGGTTTGAAAGCTAACCCTAGGGGGTTTGAAAGCTAACCCTAGGGGTTTGAAAGCTAACCCTAGGGGTTTGAAAGCTAACCCTAGGGGGTTTAACCCTCACGGGTTTGAACCATTCAAGGAAGAAAGTATTTAAAGAAATGACGACTATATATATTAGAGTATGGAGACTGAAACGAAAACATGTTCAAAATGTAAAAAGACAAAGGAAATCAATGAGTTCCACAAATCACAGTGTTTGAAGTGCTACAACTACCAAAAGGAGTACAGGCAACAACACTTGGACCAAGAAAATGAAAGGGGTAGGAGATATAAGGCTGAAGACCGACGAGACAACCCTGAAAAATACAAAGAAAAAAATGCAAGATACAGAGAGACAGTCAAGGACATCGTTATTACATGTCCTGTATGTAACTACGACATCAAGAAATATAAGAAATATCAACACGAAAAATCCAAGTTTCATCAGGATAACTTGGCAAGACAACTAAATCCTGACACGGAAGCACTACCCGAACCTGATGAAATGAAGGTAGTAGATGGTAAGAAAGTGTTTTACTGCTATGCTTGTAAATGTTCCATGATGTGTTGGGCTTGGAAGAAACACGTAGAACAACAGATACATATAGAAGCAATCAGAAAGAGAGAGGAGAAATCAACACGAACGTTTAAACACCTAGAATATCTTGAATCACTACAACCCCTTGATGAAATCCAGTAATTGATACAACATAATAAAAATATGTTGTATGATCTACTGCCCCAAGCCCCGAAACCCTAAATTTACCATAAGTTCTATCTACCTAACCTCGCCCTTTGGGATATGATACAAATATTTTGATAAAATGAACAAACATGGCCACGCCCTTCGGGAAAACATTTAAAGGAATACTCATATTTAGTAGTAGTATGGAAACGGTCAAACGATGTAGCAGATGTAGGAAAGAGAAGGAGGAAGTTGAATTCAAGGAGGGGCGCCGAGTTTGTATCCCGTGCTCGGATGCTTGTAGAAAAAGTCAGCAGGACAACCCAGAAAAGGCGAGGGAGAAATGCCAAAGGTACTACGAGAAGAAGCGAGAAGACATATTAGACAAGAAAAGAGAAAAGACTTGGTGTGTCTTATGCGAAATGTATGTAGTCAAAGACCAATACCAGAGACATACAAAAACTATGAGACACCAACACTATTTAAAATTAGAAGAAGGGGAGGAGTCTGATGTGGAAGATGCGAAAAATAAATTTTGGTGCGAGACTTGTAGAATTTGGTTAAGTAAGAAGACAAGGACATCGCATTATGGAACACCAAGACACCTTGAATTGGCACAACGAAGGCGGGGATAGTACTGCTTGATACATTCAATTTAAATTATTCAATGTATCAAGGAGTTTTTTGTTTGTTTTGGTCGGAGGGGGGCTGAGCGTACGTAGTATGCCGACAGGCATCAGCAATCCTAACTGATATGGCGGTTTACGATAGTAGGGGTATATATTTTCTTGGGGTCCTTGTTATCAGGCAACCCTACTCTTTGGGGATCTTTCTCTTTGGGGGTCCCCTATTATCGTACACCTCCCCATGTGTGGCGCGGAGTCGTTCACGACTACCAGGTGGTGCTCTGCGTGGCGATGTCGATCGTCAACACGCTGGGCTTCATGTACTACTGGGAGGTCACCATCAGCGGCGTGTCCACGCCGCTTGTCATGGCATGTATGAGCCCCCAAGTCTCACAGCAAATCACCTTCAACCCGAAACTCCTACGAAGGCGACAAAACGCAGAAGCAGTGAAGAAAAAGCCGCGGAATGCACAAAGCAGACGTTCTTGGGACCCTGTACACAAAGGCGGAGCACGGTTGCCAATGGAGGAGCATGAAAGGCAGAAAGAAGCCCGAGGTTGTGGGATTGGACGTAATTGCTTGGGTTCGGCATCCTTTCCTCGAGTCATCCCAATGAACCCTCATGGAGACCAGCTGCTTCGTCTAGTTCTTCCTCTTTTGCTCCCAATGTTAATGTTTCGCCACATGCACCTGATTGATGCTTTCCGAAGCGATTGGTATTGACGATGTTGACATGCACAAGCAGATTGACGATATGGGCATATGGGTCGAACAGGTATCACACGGAGGGTGCAGCATCAGCGCGCACGTTCTCGTCGAGACATGTTTTTGGCATCCTTTTTGGTGTCCAACACTCTCTTTCAGCAAGGCAGATACTAGAATAGACACACCAAGGAAGTGTCCATAATCTCGCGCAACCTCCGAATGCATGGTCGCTTCGCATCCATAGCTCCGCGTGTGTCAGTTGCGCACGCGATTGGGGGGGCCGGGGGGGGGGCGGAGGGGACCTTCAGCCTAAATGTGTGGGGTGGGTGGATGGTAAATCATCCAGGACCTCAGCAGCTGAAGAAGCGGCAAATGATGTCTATCAACCCTTACCTGAGGTCGGGTCTGTCCTAAACCCTACTGATGGTGTGTGTGTGTGTGTAGACGGGTAGAATAGCAATACAAGCTCTACCTCATGTCATGTTGCCTCGTTTCCTTGGCTTGGCCCCTTGAGACAGAGTCCCCACGACGCTACGAAACATGCCTGGGGACCGAAAGCATTCAGGTTTAGATAGGTGTACGGTTCAAGGGTGTAAGGGTTTCCGGGTTTGAGGGTTTAAGCGCTTAGGGCTTACAGCCGAAGGGGTTAGGGTATACTGCAAGGGCTTCGGGTTTAGGCTTTTAACCCGAAGGCCGAGGCCAAGGTCTTCTGGTCCGGCTGGTCGGATTCAAGGCCAGTTCTCGCTGATGTCTGGCCACGGAACCCCAAGCCCTAAACCCTAAACCCTAAACCCAAAACCCAAAGCCCTAAACGCGTGGTCCGGGACCTGCTCGCCCTAAACCCTAAACTTCTAAGGTTCCCTTGGAGGTACCGGTAATATTCCCTAGAGAAATCATGGCGGGTTAGGGGTTCGGGTAATGAGCCCTAGGGTCCTAGGGTTTGTTTTTAGGGTTTAGGGTTCAAGGGGCCCATAGAGTTCAGAGCTTCTCCACCCCCCCCCCCCCCCCTAAACAAGAAACTCAACATCGAGTAGTAGGGTTCAGGGGCCCTTAAACGTCAGAACTTTTCCACCCCCCCCCCCCCCCCCCCCGGAAAAAACCTCAACATTAGATTTCAGAGCTTTCTACCCCGATCCCCTAAATCCTAACCCTAAACCCTAAACCCTAAACCCTAAACCCTAAACCCTAAACCCTAAACCCTAAACCCTAAACCCTAAACCCTAAACCCTAAACCAACATTGAGGATCTACGTGCTGATTTGCGTCGGCCTGGCCGTCGACTACGCGGCGCACATCGCCCACATGTTCCGGGACCCTCGGGGCTGAAGTTCCTACTTGGGGTTTGGGGTTTAGGGTTCTACAGGGTTTAGGGTTTAGGGTTTAGGGTTAGGGTTTAGGGTTTAGGGTTTAGGGTTAGGGTTTAGGGTTTAGGGTTTAGGGTTTAGGGTTTTTAGGGTTTTTAGGGTTTTTAGGGTTTAGGGTTTAGGCTTTAGGCTTTAGGGTTTAGGGTGATATCATCGGGCCTGGGGTTGATCATTGGTGTATCCACTTCGGCCCTGAACCCGAAAACCCTTAAACCTTAAACCCACAGCCCTTAGGAAAGCCTCCTAAACCTCCTAAACCTCCAAAACCCCAAACTCCAAAACCTCCTAAACCCTGAACCCTCTATAAACCGGCCTAAACCCCCGAAAAGGGTTAGGGTTTCGGGTTCTGGGTTTAGGATTTAGGGTTTAGGGTTTGGGGTTTAGGGTTTAGGGTTTAGGGTTTAGGGTAAAAAGCCCTATCAGAAAACCCCAAAAAAAGAGGGGCCCCCTCGAGGAGTCCACTGGCAGCGCGCGGGAGCGGGCCATCGCTTCGATGGAGCGAATCGGGCCGCTTTCCTGAGGCTTTTTAAAGGGGCTTTTTTGGGGCTCTTCAGGGTTTAGGGTTTAGGGTTTTTGGGGTTAGGGTTTAGGGTTTTTGGGGTTTAGGGTTGAGGGTTTAGGATTTAGGGTTTAGGGTTTAGGGTTTAGGGTCTAGGGTTTTTCGGGCTTAGGGATCTTTGGGGTTTAGGGTCTTTAGGGTCTTTAGGGTGTTTAGGGTCTTTAGGGTCTTTAGGGTTTCGGTTTAAGGGTTTAAGGCTTTCAGCGTTAGGGCTTTAGGTTTCAGGGCTTAAGGTTTCGGTTATTATAAGGATGGTGATAGCCTTGTCTGGAGTACTGATAACCCTAGGCATAGGTACCAATGAACTTCAAGTAGCCCTGAACCCTAAACCCTAAACGGCCATAGACCCTAAACAAGCCCTAAGCCCTAAACCCGACTTATGAGTAGCCCTAAACCCTAAACCCTAAACCCTAAACCCTAAACCCTAAACCCTAAACCCTAATCCCAAAATCATTCGACATGGCTTCGACTTCTGCCACTGAGGCCTTGCACGCTCAACGCTGTGCTCTCCACACTCCTTGCGGTGCCCTGACTGGGGCACGGTGGGCTGCGGGTATTCAGGGTTGTTTCTGAGGGTTTTTTTTTTCAGGTTGTTGGGGTTCAGGGTTTAGGGTTTAGGGTTTAGGGCTAGGGTTTAGGGTTTGGGGTTTATACGTTTGAGGGTTTAGGGTTGGCTAGGGGTTAGGATGGGTTGGAGTGACGGCGCCATCCTGCAAGATCCCGGATCGCAGTATCGTGGACAGTTGGGGTGCCTTAGGTTACAATCAGACAAAAAGTTTGCATCTTCGTTTTCTCAAAGTCTTAGTACTGGGTCTGACCCGAACCCTAAACCCTAAGCCCTAAGCCCTCAACCCTGAATTCCTCTTTTTTTCGGGACTCCGGGATTCTCTTCGACAACCCAAGAAGAAGAAGAAGAAGAAGAAGAAGAAGAAGAAGAAGAAGAAGCGCCCAGCAGCTGCAAGCAGCAGAGCTGCATCCTCCGCAGATCGCAACCCCGGAGGACCTGAATCAAGGGGTGTAAGGAAGGACCCCTAGAAGGGACCCTGAATCTTCTTCCCCTAGAGAATATATATATATATATTTATATACATATATCATATACATATATAGTCCCTGTATACCCAAGTAGCCCCGAAATAACCCCCAAACAGCCCCGAAGGTCCCTTACCAGGGTATCGCAGTAAGCTGGCTGGGCTCTTGGCGCCAGCGACTGCCAGTGGCAGCAGAAAGAGACAGCTTCTACACAGGCGAACCCCTGTAAATAATTCCAGTAACAAGGGTTTCGGGTTTAGGGTTTAGGGTTTAGGGGCATACCTGTTAACTACAATAGTACCGCTTACTGTGCCATAAACCCTAAAAAGCCCTGCAACCCTAAGCCAATGACTCGCCACGCAGAGTTGTTACTCCGGTCACAGAGCTGGGCTTTCGGGTTTGGGGTTTAGACCCCAACCCTCCAGCCTTGTACAGCAAGCCCTTTCACCCGTCCCGCACCCCAAGCCTATAAGCCGTAAGCACCCTAAGCGGCCTAAGCACCCGACTGCAACCCGAAGCCTAAAGCCCTAAGCACCCCTGAGAACCCTAATCTCTCATGAAAGCCTAAACCCCAGGTGATCGTGGTAGGCTTCTCTGACAGCTACGTGTTCCGAATCTTCTTCAAGGCCCCGGCGGCTCTTTGAGGGTTTCAGGGTTTTTGTGGGTTAGGGCGTGTTTGGGAGGGTTTCTGTGTTGGACTTGAGGTGCAACCTCCCAACCCACAATACTTAGGGATTCTTGGGAGTTTTTTCTAAACTGTTTGTGACTGTAACCCCTGAGAAACTGCCAAAAAATGTCATTTTTGCCAGGGTTCCAAGTTCAGTATAGACAAGTGCCCAGACTAGGGCCCTAAAGAGGTCCGAACAACAGGGTCGTTGCAAGTCATCCCTGTGCTTAGCGGCGATTGAATGCGGTTCTTGCAGTGGCAGGGATCGGCCCCATACCCTGAACCCAAAACATCCCCAATCGCTGCAACATCCTATAAAACTTGGAAGAAGCTGTAAAACTATGAGCCCTCAAACAAGTTTGAAGCTTCCACTGGCCGAGACTTCTTGGCTCTCGGGGACGGTGCTCTTCCCCTAGGCCCTAAACTCTAAATGCTGGACCCTAGCCCTGAAGCCTAAACCCTAAACCCCCAACCCTAGCCCTAAACCCTAAACCCTAAACCCTAAGCCCTGAACCCTAAACCCTAAACCCTAAACCCTAGCCCAAACCCTACAGGTGCTCTTCCTCGTGGTCACCATCGCCGGGGCCCACGGCCTCTGGCTCCTGCCCGCGATCTTGGCGCTGGTCGGAGGCGTTTTTTACATTGCATCGTTCAGGGTTTCGGGTTTAGGGGATTTAGGGTTTGAAGGGGGGCGAAGGGGGGGGGAGGGGGGGGGGGGGGGGGGGGGGGGTTGGGGGCGAAGGGGGGGGGGGGGGGGTGGGGGGGGGAAGGGGGGCGAAAAAAGGGGGGGGGGGGGGGAACGGAAGGTGGGGGATGGGGGGGGGGAAGGGGGGGGGGAGGGGAGGGAGGGGAGGAGAGGGGGGGGAGGGAGGGAGGGGGTTCAAGTAAATTGAGCATTTGGCCTCCAGAGACATGTGTTTTGGACAAATATACTTAAACTCAGGTTGTCAGCTGTTTAGACCAATAACTTGAGAAACTCAGAATGATACCACATACAATTTCTATTTGTTTTGTCTTGAGGGTTTAGGGTTTTTTTGGTTTAGAGGTCTTTAGGGTTTAGAGGTCTTTGGGGTTTTGGGCCCTAGACCGTAAACCCCGCAAAGCCTCAGGCACCCTACAGTCCCCCAAGAGCCTACCGTAGACCCTTCAAGCCTCAAACCCCAAATCCTGGAGCAATCACTCTTGCAGCCCGTGGACCCCGGAGCCTTAAACCCAGCAGCATGATGGTTTGTGGTTTAGGGTTCAGGGGTTTAGGGTTTAGGGTTTATAGGTTTAGGGTTCAGGCTTTTGGGGTTCAGAGCTCGCCCGCAGGCTCGAAATCACCGGAGAAAGACGGGACCCGACCGGGGTGGGAAGGGCCTGGGGGTGTTTAGAGAAGCCCTTATTCACCCACTCAACCCTAAACCCTACAGGGTTTCGGGTTTAGGGTTTCGGGTTTAGGGTTTAAGGTTTAGGGTTTAGGGTTTAGGGTTTAGGTTTTTGGCATAAGCTTCATGCAAGGCATTGAGGCTCGCAATGTGGGATCTGGAGTTGCGAATCACGGGGGGGCTGAGTCGTTCTGAGAGTTCTATCACGGCGAGTCGAGTTGGCTTCAGGGTTTAAGGTTTTGGTTTTGCACTGAGTGTTTTTCTGCTCTACAAGCACTGAACCCCACTATCATTGGGGTTTGGGGTTCAAGGCTGGGTGATGAACTGAACCTCCCTGCGCCATCGGGTTTCGGCTTGGCACGTCTTTCTAAATAATACCAATAATACTAATAATACTAATAATACTAATAATACTAATAATTCTCATAATGCTAATAATAATATACAGAGATTGGGGAGTTTAGCGGGTTCAACGGGTCTTGGGGTCCATTTTTTTAGGGGTTTAGAGGGGTTGCTGTAGAGGTTTTGGAGGGATAGGGTTTTATGTGGGGTTCGGGACAAACCCTAAACCCTGAACCCTGAACCCTGAACCCTGAGCCCTGAACCCTAAACCCTAAACCCTAAACCCGAACGGTGGAGGGGTTTGCAGATGCCCTCATTGCGGGTGCGGCGCCCAATGCCGCGGAGCCACTGCTATTCCCAGTCTTCATACCCCTGAGTTGTCGGGGTTTAGGATGTAGGGTTTAGGATTCAGGGGTTTAGGGTTTAGGGTTTCGGGGTTTAAGAGGTTTTGTGGGTGTAGGGTTTAGGAGTTTGTTTAGGATTAGGGTTTCGGGGTTTAAGAAGTTTTGGGGGTGTAGGGTTTAGGAGTTTGTTTAGGAGTTCGTTTAGGGGTTTAGGGTTTAGGGGTTTATTTAGGAGTTCATTTGGGGGTTTAGTGTTTAGGGTTTAGGGGTTTCGGGTTTTGGGGTTTAGGGTTTTAGGGCCTATAGGGCTTAGACGATTAGACTCACCTCCCCTCGGAACATCCCATTTCAAGTGGCTGAAGACTCGGACCCTTAAGGTTGTACCCCGAAAGGTTCCCCTTAATCTACTCCCAATATGGCCCTTATATCCCCCAAGGGATCCTTAAAAATTGCCCCAAAACCGAAGGGTACAACCTCAAGGGTCCGAGGTCGAACTCCTAGACCTGCCATTCTCTGACGCTGCTCTGCAGGGGTCTGCCATGAGTGTCAGATATACTTGGAGGTTCATGGTACTTAGTAACTAATTATTTCTGTACTTATAACCCACTTATCAGCCCCTGAAGTGCCCCAATATGGTTATAAGTACAGTTATAAGTACAGTTAGATTTAGCTACTAAGTACCATGAACCTCCAAGTAGGAAGTCTGGCGCCTCAGCCTAAACCTCCAGATGCTTGAGAAAGATGCTCTTATGCAGAGCTATAGAACCACCAACCCAGCACCCGAAACCCTACACCCTAAACACCTAACACCCTGAACCCTAAACCCTAAACCCTAAACCCTAAACCCTAACCCTAAACCCTAAACCCTAAACCCTAAACCCTACACTCAGTTCGGACTTCTCAATCTGGAGATATGTCTGAAGGACTGCTTATGGTGCAGAGGAGAAGGCCAAGGGCTACGCTCTTGGGGTGGGGAGCGGGTAGGGTCCAGGGGCTTTGGGGGTGGGGACCGGGGGGGGGGGGGGCTGTATGCTTATTGTTTAGGGTTTGGGTTTCAGGGCTTAAGGTTCAGGGTTTCGGGAGGTTAGGCGCTGAGGGCTAGGGCTCTCACATGAGCACTACCCTAAGCCCGACACCCTAAACCGGCAACCCGCTAGACCCTGAACAGTTCGTGGCTCAAAGGTTCTAGGACGAAAGCAGAGAACGACCTTAGGTCTATAGTCCTAAGGTATGTATAGGGGTTATATGGGGTAATAAGATTAAGGGTCCCTCCTTATACCCCTTGAAGGGTGCTGGGGGCACACCCAAAACCCTTTCGAAACCTAAATCCTAAATAGCCCCTAAACCCGAAACCCGAAACCCTAAACCAAAGCTTGCGAGTTGGGCTTTTTAGGGATTTAGGGGATCCATCTGCCTGGGGGCTCAGCGGCTTCAGTTTGAGACATACCCCGTCAGGCCTCCCGGACCGTGCCCGCCAGCGAAGACGCGTAAAGGACACCGGGACGTTGCTGACGCCATGAGGGTTCAGGGCTTAGAGGGTTCAGGGTTCAGGGTTCAGGGTTCAGGGTTTAGGGTTTAGGGTTTAGGGTTTAGGGGCTTCCCGCAACACTTCGTTGGGTTTATGGGGTACAGGGCCTCCCTAAACATCCACATACTTGAGCTCAATACTATCGGGCGCCTTGGCGGGGGAGGGCTAAACCCTAAACCCTAAACCCCAAGAAAGGAGTAAGGAGAGCCCTTGCTGGAAGTTTGGCTTGTTGTCTGCACTTCGCTGCGTTCTGCGCGTTAAGGGGCGCCTAGGAAGTTGTCTTCTGTTTTTGCAGGGTCCTAGTTGCTGTAACCGTTGTTACGGGCGGGAAGTTGCACAACTGATGGTATAGATAGGAGAGCCCTCTAGACCCCAAAGCCTGGACCCTAACTCAAAAAACAAAGTTCTCCACTTGGGAGGTTCCCCCTGATACGAACTGTACATTCAATTACAATCCCTATCAAGGACTGTTAGTATAAGGGGGAACATCCCAAGCCTAACCCCTAAACCTAAACCTTAACCCTAAACCCTAAAATACCCTAATTACCCTAATTACCCTAATTTCCCTAATTACCCTAATTACCCTAGTTACCCTAATTCCCCTTATTTCCCTAATTGCCCTAATTGCCCTAATTACCCCAATGACCCTAATTTACCCTAATTGCCCTAATTGCCCTAATTGCCCTAATTGCCCTAATTGCCCTAATTGCCCTAATTGCCCCCCCCCCCCCCCCCCCCCCTTGCCCTAATTGCCCTAATTGCCCTAATTGCCCTAATTGCCCTAATTGCCCTAATTGCCCCCCCCCCCCCCCCCCCCCTAACCCTAACCCTAAACCCTAACCCTAAAATTTCGGCCTAGCGGCACGGGCCGGCCCCCGCCCCCCAAAGCACGAAACCTTGAACCTTGGCACTGTCTTCTCTTTCCTTGTCTTTGTCCTCCAATCCTCTCTCTGTCTCTCTTTCTCCTGCTTTCGCCCCCCCTCCCTCCCCCCACCCCCCCCCCGCGCGCGCGCGCGCGCGCGCAGCGCGCGCACACCGCATCAGGAGCATCAGTGGGGTTGGTTTGGGGGGCCTTAAAAGCATTCTATGCTGCGTTTTGCCTTCGAAAAACCTTCAGAAAACGCTGTAAACACTTGTTTTTTTGGGCTTGGGAAGCCTTTTGGGACCCAGGAAAGGGAGCATCAAAAGCATACACGGCCTCCCCCAGGCCATCCAAAACCCCCTTAAACACGCCGATGTATGTGCTTGAACGCTTGCGTGCCTACGAAACCCCCAAAAGCAAGACCCCGAATGCCCTTAAGGGCATTCGGGGTCCTGCTGTTCGGGTTTTTTGTAGGCACGCAGGTGTTCGCAGCGCGTAAAATGAAGCGTTTTAGGGGCGTTTTTTACGTGGACCCACAAACCTACCCTCGGTATTTACGAGGTTTTCTGCTGTTGGAACACCCCCCCAAACCGAGCATCATGAGCAACAGTGGGTCTCTGGCCTTGGGCCCGGACCCCCCCACGAAGCCCATGAGAAACGATTGGCTCGATGATGCCCCCGAACCCCGCGCATCAGCAGCATCAGCAGACCCCCCCCGGACGTGGGTTTCGATGATGCCACTTTGGGGGCGGGTCAGGGCAACAGGGGTGGGGGTCGGAGGCACGCGTGAAAAACCTCATAAAAACCCCGGTATTTCGGTGATTTCAGCGTTTTTCAGCGTTTTTTTATTGCCTTTGCCCCGCGGCCAGGGCTGCTGATGCTCATGAGCTCGCCTGGTTTTGGCTTCCGGTACCCCCCCCAAACCTTGAAAAACGTGGTTTCGGCCTGGCGCGCCCATGTGAAAAGCTAGGGCCGATGATGCGCGCCCGTGAGGTTTAATGGGTGCTGCGGGTGTTTTATGGCCTCGGTTTTTCGTAAAAAACCATGGTTTTTACGTGGTTTTCGTGCTTTTCGCACCACCGCGTGTTGCGTCCCCTTGGATGCCGTTTTGGAGGCCTCCCGGAGGGCCCCGCGCGAATTTGAAGCAGTTTTGGGCGGGGTCGGCGGCTCGGGCGCTCGCCCCTTAAAGCTAGCGCTTTAGTGCGACGCGGGCTCCGCCCTGGACCACGGGCGGCGCGGGGGCCGGATTTAAGAGCCTCCGGCTCAGCCCGCCGACCCCCCCCCCCCCCCCCCCCACCCCCCCCCCCCCCCCCAAAACCCCAACAAGGAAGCCCCGGAGTTTAGGGCGCCAAGCGCATGCCGTGAAAAGCTCCTGCGCTCTGAGATCGTGGGCCCAAAGACCTCACCCTGGGTTTAGGGTTTAGGGTTTAGGGTTTAGGACTTAGGGTTTAAATGAGGGTTTAGGGTTTAGGGTTTAGGGTTAGGGTTTAGGGTTAGTGGGCCGATTCCCAAGCTGAGCCTCATATCTGGGCGGGCTCGGCTTTATAGAGTCATCGAGTTTATTGGGTTTAAGGTTGGGTGTAGGGGATGGTGGCTTAGGGTTGAGGTGTTAGGGTTTACACAGCGTATGTGGGGATGTCGGGGGTGCTCATCTCATTTCCTAACCCTAAACCCTAAACCCTAAACCCCTGAGGACTATACTCTTCCCTGCGGGGCGAGCAGCGGGGCCGTCCTGAAGATGAGGGCGGCGACTCACCTGGAATGCAGAACTTGGTAGCCCCCTGGTATCCTCTTTTTTTTGGGGGGGGAGGGGGTTCAAGGTTCCCTTAGCAGGTTTTCAAACCCCCAAAAAGGGTTATGAAGAGCATGGGAGAGTCACCCACAAAAAAGGCATGAAGAAGAGTTTTCAAGCATCCCCCACATGCTTCACTGCGCTGAGTGTTCAGGTTTTAGGGTCCTTAAGGGCATAGGGGGTGGGGCCCCTTAGTTATAAGTAGAGTTATAAGGGCCCTAAATTGGGTTATAAGGACCCTAAGTTAGGTTATAAGTCCCTTAACTACAGTTAGTATAGTAAGGGGGCCCCACCCTGTAGGGTCCTTAAGGGCATAGGGGGTGGGTACCTAGGGAACCTTATGAGAAAGCATAGGGTGCCTGAGGGAGTAGTGGGGAGTTTTAGGTAACCTTGAGATATAGAACCCCCTTGAACCCTAAACCCTAAACCCTAAACCCTAAACCCTAAACCCTAAACCCTAAACCCTAAACCCTAAACCCTAAACCCTAAACCCTAAACCCTCCCCTAAGAGCCCCATAATCGGAGCACCGGCCGAGGCGTGACGCTGCAGCCCTAGCGCCGAGCTTCTGGAGTCTTATTCGACTGTACGTGTAGTGGACGTTCCCAGGCCCGCGGTTTAGGGTTTAGGGTTTAGGGTTTAGGGTTTAGGGTTTAGGGTTTAGGGTTTAGGGTTTAGGGATTACGGTTTCGGGTTTAGGGTTTCGGTTTTAAAGTTTAGCTGGGGTGCGAGGCTTCGGAAGGGCGCGGTGAAGTTGCAGGTTGAGGGTGGTTGGCACCCGCGGCTTGAACACTAATTTCAAACCCTACTTGGAGGTTCATGCGTACGGATTTGGGGTGTAGGGTTTAGGGTTTAGGGATATAGGTAGGGTAAACTATGGTTTAGGGATATAGGTAGGGTAAACTCATCGTTCTAGTCGTAGCTGGGTCACTTAGACACCCTACGCATAAGTGCCCACGAACCTTTCAAGTACGCCAGAATGCAGGAGCCTAAACTCTAAATGGAATGGGTTTGGGTTTGGGGTCTAGGGTTTGGGGTTTAGGGTTATAGGGTTTAGGGTTTAGGGTATGTCCCCGAACTGTAGTGTATTCCCCAATACACATTCTTTACAACCCTTAATCCTCAACCCTAAACCCTGGCCCGGGCCGTTCTGCCCCAATCCAGCCCGCGCACGGCTCGTGTGCAGCTGGTTCGGTCCACGTCGAGGGTCCCAGCTCTTGAAGCAGCTTCTGGAGGTCGGGAACCCTAAACCCTCAACATTCTGACCAGCGGACCACCTAATCATCTCGGGTTCTACACAGAAACCCTCAACATATAACAGAGGTAGGATTTGGGGTTTAGGTTTCGTAGGGTGTAGGGTTTACGGTTTAATGTTGCACTGTCTTTAGTATGGGCCGCCCCCCCCCCCCCCCCCCCCCCCCCCCCCCCCCCCCCCCCAAAAAAAAAAAAAAAAAAGGACCCTATAAACGCACGGCGCGGCGACCCCCCCAAACAAATTGGGGGGGGGGGGGGAGCGGGGGGACCGTCTTCGGGGCCTCAAGGCCTGAAGCTTTCCAGCCTTTAAGATTCCTGGAGCCCAAGGCCCTCAGGGCCTCAAGCCTTACTGCGTAAGCCCTTAACCCAAAACACAAACCCTTAAAACAAATCATCCGACAAAATCTTGGCACTATAGAGGGTAGCCAGACAAACTTACTAAAAACAGTCTGACCGGCCAGTGGGCTACCTATCACAAAATTTGTTTGGGGCCTCGTTTCGTAATGAGTTTCCATAAGGCTTTACATGGAACTGGCCGGGCTTAGATTTCTGGATTCTCCGCGCTCTGGCTCTTTAAGATTCCTGGAGCCCAAGCCCTCAGGGCTTCAAGCCTTACCGCGTAAGCTCTGAACCCAAAACACAAGCCCTTAAAATAAGAAAAACGTCCGGAAAAAACTTGTGATAATAGCGGGTATCCTGAACAAACTCGGTTCGCAGAATAAGTTTTCGAAGCTTGTGACTATAGACCCTGCTTATACTAAAGCCAGTCCAACATTAGGGTAAAATCAAGAACTCCCCTTAGCTCTGTAAACCTCAGAGGGTGTTTAGGGTTCTAGTATACAGGGTACTCGTACGGTTAAGGCTTTGGGTTGTCAAGCTATAAGCACTTTTTGGTAGGCTGGTTTGTGGGGTACCTATGTTCATCGTTAGGAAAACGAGCTACAAGAACACTAGGTAATTACGACTAAGTGCTCGGCTCAGCGGTCACGCAGACGGCTTCTTTTAGAAATGGCCCTCCGCAAGGCTGCCCCGTAGTACCTTTCGATTCCCTTGGTTT